CAGAGATCACAAGTAGGCAGAGAGGCAAGCAGAGAGAGAGGGGGAAGCAGGCCCCCCACTGAGCAGAGAGCCCAATGTGGGGCTCGATCCCAGGACCCTGGGATCATGACCTGAGCCAAAGGCAGAGGCTTTAACCCACTGAGCCACCCAGGCGCCCCATTGACTGGATTTAATTTAGTCCTCCCTATAGACCCTAGCTCTGAGCCAACCCTCAGTGAGCTCTCATGGATGCAGTGTGACCCTGTCCCTACGTCCACTAGGTGGCCATCGACTTCACCGCCTCCAATGGGGACCCAAGGAGCAGCCAGTCCCTACACTGCCTCAGTCCCCGCCAGCCCAACCACTACCTGCAGGCCCTGCGCGCAGTGGGAGGCATCTGCCAGGACTACGACAGGTTCGAGGGGGGTAGGCTAGGGAGGAGGGAGCGGGTAGGGAGGCCTTGCCGGATGGGCCCCACAACCTTCTCTTCTCCCCAGTGATAAGCGGTTTCCAGCATTTGGCTTTGGCGCTCGAATCCCCCCCAACTTTGAGGTAGGCTGGGATTGAGAGGAAGGGAAGATTTGGTGGGAGAGTAGGCAGAAAACCATCTTCTAGCTGCTCTGGCCTTATTCTCACAGGTGTCCCATGACTTTGCTATCAACTTTGACCCGGAAAACCCTGAATGTGAAGGTAAGAGGGCAGATTTTCGCCAGCCCTACCCCACCCCCATACGTCTTGCGCAGCTTGTACAACCCCATGCAGGGGCACAGGCTCCATCCTCATGGGCCCAGCCCCCCCAGCCCATCTCACCACTCAGCTCTTGTCTATCTGGGACTCCAGGCCCCTGGCCCAGCATCAGACCAGCCAACTCTCCTGCTTAGTAAGGAACTTAGGGGGCCAGGCAGTCCTGAGACAAGCAAGGACCTTCTTGCTTAAAGGGTGTCCAAAAGGGCTCCCTGTTAATTTCTGCTGGCCTCACCCCCTCGCCTACAGAGATCTCCGGGGTCATCGCCTCCTACCGCCGGTGCCTACCCCAGATTCAACTCTACGGCCCCACCAACGTGGCCCCTATCATTAACCGCGTGGCCGGGCCAGCTCAGCGCGAGCAGAGCACCGGCCAAGCCACGGTGAGGAGGCGAAGCAGGCAACCAGGCTCTGCCCCACTGGGTGTCCTCCGGTGGAGCCGGGGCCAGGGCCTGGACTTGGGGTGGGTGCCAGCGCCCTTGCACACAGAGCCTACCCTTCCTCCCCTCCGCCTGCCCTCTGCCCTCAGAAATACTCCGTACTGCTGGTGCTCACGGACGGCGTGGTGAGCGACATGGCCGAGACCCGCGCAGCCATCGTGCGCGCCTCCCGCCTGCCCATGTCCATCATCATCGTAGGGGTGGGCAATGCCGACTTCTCCGACATGCGGCTACTGGATGGCGACGACGGTCCCTTGCGCTGCCCCCGAGGGGTGCCCGCGGCCCGCGACATCGTCCAGTTCGTGCCCTTTCGGGACTTCAAGGATGTGAGTGCCCGGCGCCCCCTCCCGGTCGTAGGACTCCTCAGCTCCTCAAGCCCTCAAATCAGACCCTTCTCTCCCACACCGGATTGATGGCCAGCGAAGGACGCTGGAGCCCAGCGGGCAGCCCCCAGGGCCCGTCCTCTTGCCTGACCCCGCCCCCACCCTTGGGGCCTGCTAAACCCATCCCCGCCCCATCCCCAGGCCGCACCTTCTGCGCTTGCCAAGTGCGTCCTGGCTGAGGTGCCCAGGCAGGTGGTGGAGTACTACGCCAGCCAGGGCATCAGCCCCGGGGCTCCCAGGCCCTGCACACCGGCCCCGACCCCCAGCCCTAGCCCGTGACTGCCTCCCACCGGACCAACGCTCCCTCAGCCTCTCAGTGAGTCCCGGGGGCCCAAAGCAGTGGCGGGGGGTGCAAGGTGGGGCTTGGTGGAGCACATCCGGGCTCCATGTGGTGGTGTAGGGGACAGTGCTTATGACTATCCCGCCCTGTCCCAGGTGCCTGTCCTGACCCTTGTGACTCAAGTGACCAGTGCCTCTCCCTCTTGGACCAGCTGTGACCCCTAGGTCCTGGAAGTGCGTGGTGAGCCCTGCTCTTTCTCTCCAGGCCCCATACCCCTCAGCCTTGTGATTTTCTTCAGTGATCCTGACTTTCTGATCATTAATAAAGGGAACCTCTCCTAGCACCTCAGTCTCTATCTATCATGACCCAGATGCCCATGAATGGTCCATAATGCCCACCCATCCACACACACCATTAAGAAATGAGGACCAGCACCTTTCAGATCTGAGCCAGAGCTCCCACAAAGCCTGGGATCTCAGCGGTTTCACCCTAGCTGTGTGCCAGTGGGATCCGAGGAGCCCCTCTACCCTCTCCTCCCAACCCCAGGGGGCCCAGCACCATGGAAGTTAATTACCAGAGATGGGGGGTGGTAATGAGGGGCTGTCAAGGGGGCAGGTTGATCCCCTCTTACAGCTGTCTCTAGAGAAGCCCAGCTGAATCCCCCAGGAGCTTCACTCCAGCCCCCACACAGCTGTGGGGCGGGCCAAGCAGGGGTGTTGAGGGGACAGAGGGAGGGCAGCAGGTCTGTGAGTGGATTATGAACACAGAGGGGGCATCTGAGGTCTGTGTAGCCTGGTTTTCCTGGGTGTGTAAATGTGCGTGTGTGTTCATGCATTATCCCTACCTCTCCACGAGTGTGGCCTTCGTGTTTCAGAAAGCCTTAATAACATTAACAACAGCAGTGAACATTATTGTTTGGCATGTGTGAAACTTTGTGCAACATGCTTTAAGTGCATTCATGCTCACTCGGTAGTTAGCATCGCTTTCCCCACTTTTTCTTCAAATCAAGGGAGGTTTCATTTAAATCCACCCATCAGCAAAGAACTGGTGAGCCTGGAATTGAGCCCAGACCCATCTGACTGAAGTGCCTACACTCTTAATTACGGGTGTGCAACTTCTGTGTGAGCCTCATCTTGAGCCCCAGGTGTATGGATATGTGGGCTGATTGTGCATATGGGGGTGGGTGCCTGCGGATGGCTTCTCTGCCTGTGTGTGTGCTGTGCAAGGCCTCAGCCAGTTAAGGAAGGTGTGCAAGAGCAAAACTGGGTCTGGACTGATACTCCAGAGAGGGTGAGAACACAGGTGATATCCGGAGCGAGGGAAGAAACAACAAATCCTGGAGGGACCCTCTCTGCCCCAGCCTCTCCCTTCAATGATATGTGTGGAAGGAAACGAAGGAGGAGAGGACAAAGGTGTTGTGAGCCACTCAGGAGAGAGGAGCCAGAGCCAGAGAGGGTGGCCAGTGGCCAGTGTTGGAAAAGGAGAGAGAAAGAGAAAGAAAAAGAAATCCTGGGGGAGATGGGGGAGATACTGCAGGCTCCTGAGTGGAAGAGGGACGAGCTGGGCTGGAGGAGGGGGAGGAGGGAACAAGAACTGTGATGAGAAAAGACAGCTGGGAGGGGGTGGATAGAGGGGGCAGAAAGGAAGAGAGACATATGGGAGCCTCTTCCCCACCCTCAACTGCTTCTTCCTATTTATTATGTCCCTTAGGGGACCTATGACAGTGGCTGGTGAGGTAGCTGCTCCCAGTTCAATGCCTCTGCTCTGCCCAGAGCGCTCCCCCCACCACCCCCCACTCTCTCTGTAAGCAGATGAACCAGAGGGCTGGGTAACCATGGCAACTATGGGACCTCAGGATAGCCATAGGCAGGCCTGGCCCAGTCACTGATGCTCCTGGGCTTCTGTGCAGTGCTGGTAGGAGGAGGAGGCTCCATCTGGCCCAATCCGCACCCTTCTACCCCATTTTCATTGGGCCTCCAGAACTGAGACTCAACACACACACACACACACACACACACACACACACACACACACACACGAGGAGCAAGGCTAAAGAATGAACACTTCTTAAATGGTAAGAACATTTAGCCAATAGTATAAAGTTCTGCCTGAACTTCAAGTTTAATTCACAAAAATCTCATTCTTTCAGCATCTTGTCATACTGAGTAAAATCTCACCTCAGCCCTCAGCAAGGCAGGAGGTAGCAAGGGTACCCTACACAGGTCTGGAGGCCAAGGCAGCCTGGAGGGAGCAACAGAGGACCGGTGTGTGGGCTCCTCCACTGACCAGGCTGCAATCAGGAAGCAGGAGCAGGACAGGAAGTCCCTTTGGTGAGGTTGTCCTGGGGGCTTCTTGGGGAGACTCTTGGGGCCCCACACCAAGGAGATGCCAAAACTGTAAAGGTGTCAGAAGTCATCCAGCCCAGGATTGGGGGAGGTAACAAAAACCAGGGAAGCAAGTGGTTTTCTCAAGGTGACAGAGGTATCCCATGGCAGAGCTGGGACTGACACCCAGGTCCCCAGATTCCTGCCCAGAGGTCTCTCCCAGCCCACACCAACCACTCCCAGAGCTCCTCAGGCGGTTGCTGCTCTGGGCCCTGGAGGCCACCGGGCTGGGTAGGAAGAAAGCTTCTTGGATAGAGTTCTTAGTCTTGTCTTGCTGTTGGTAACTGAAATCTTGAAAATGCAGTCATCCTAAAATGGGCAGTTTACAAGCCTCGGAATGAAAACATGGCTTCATTGCTAATTACCACCTTAATGCACTACAGGTTGAAAACCTTGAATTAAAATCTAAACTGAGGGGGAGTCACACCACTCCCTCGCCTCCCATTCACTGTCACCCAGCTATCAACCACGCCTCCCCACCCTCCCCCTCACAACAGTGCCCTGCACTGGCTCCTCGAGATCGCAGCGTCCTGGTCACGTGGGGGTGGAACGGGAGGTGGAGGGTGCTCTGGGCTGCCTGCGTGGTTAGACTTCTCTCCCAGAAAATGACCAGCATCTAACCTCGGAGCATGCCCTGAGGGGCCAGGAAGTTCGGGGATATTTATGTATAGTCACACCACCGAGTGTCTGGCGCCAGAAGGCGCTCAGTAACCATCTAGTGAACGGTACAGTGGCCTCCTGGGTGGTGCCCCCCACCCTCCTACAACACCACTCCGAGGCCCCTAGCCGCTCAGAGGAAGAAGTGGGCGTGGTCCCCGGCCCCAGGGCCGATCGAGGTCAGCCGGTCACAGCGAGCCTTATAGAGGTCACGCTCCCTGGCCAGGCGGGCCACCTCGGCCCGCAGCGCGTCCAGCTGGGCGGCCAGGCGGGCGCGCTCGGCCTCTAGCCCGCGCCGCTGCTGCAGCCGCTTGGAGCGACAGGCCTGCGCGTAACCGCGGTTCTTCAGCGTGCGGCGCCTCTGCTTCAGCCGCAGGGCCTCGTCGCGCCCGCAGCCCCGCAGCTGCCGGTTGAGCTCCCGCACAGACATCGACACCAGCGCCGCGTCGGAAAACCGCTCCACCAGCTGCAGAGGGAGAGGGCGGGGAGCGGGTCAGCGCGGGGCCCCGCCCAGCTCCAACCTAGTGTTGCCCGTGGGACTGCCCCGCCCCCGGGAAGCTCCGCCTTCGGCCCCCGCCTTACCGGATGCTCGCCCGCGCACCATATCCACCCCGCAGTCCAGACCCCGCCCCAGGTCCCGACAAACCCCTCCTCCCTGGGGAACGCGTGCCTCTTTGTGTCTGCCCCGCGCCGCAGGCCCCGCCTCCCACGATCCGGCGAGCCAGTCGCCCGTCTGGAGCCTGCGCCATTCCTGCGCGGTGCTTAGCGTTAGGTTCCAGACACTTTTAGTGTCCAGTGGACACGCGCCCAGGCAGACCCCGCCTGCCAATGCACCTCTCTCCCCTGTCCTGAAGGCCGCAACCCTGTGACCCTCAAAGGATTTGGATTACATCCTAATGCCCTCAACACCCCCATCTGTGTCTATAATTAATAGGATGAGTCCCAATCCTTCCTGAAAAGATTGGGGGCTGGGGAAGCACGATGTTTGAAAAGGCCAACCTCATTCCTGTTCCCACAGTCTGAACTCCATTCCACACACAATTCTTTCCCTGGTTTCCACAGATGGGAGTATATTTACCTCCCCGTAAAGAACTGCTCCCCGTTAATTCTCAGCTCTCCCCTTTTGGTACTCTTCTAACCTTCTGCCTCTTCCTCCTGGTTGGGACTACTCATTTCTCTCCATTTGGAAAAAGGGGAGGGGGCAGAAGGTAGTTTTCTCTACCTGATTTTCTTTCAAGGGCTCTTCCGTTCTCCTGCCTTCTGTCTCTTCCCCAATCCATAACTCTGTCCAGGAATTCTCCTTCTCCTCTTGAGCTGTCCTCCCTCACCCTGCCACCCCTCAGACCAACACACTGATCACTCACCTGGGCATGTTGGGCCCCTGTCTCCTCCGGGCTCCCTGGGTAGTAGCTGTGGGGCCCCTCCATAGGGACTGGACCTTGACCCTGCAGCAGCTCCAGGGCCTCCTCAGGACTCAGCCCCAGTGCCTCCCCAGCTCCCAGCTGCTGCTGCAACGTGGCCAGCCAGTACAGCTCCTCCAGGCCTGGCCTCGGGCCCTCCGTAGGCCCCACCATGCCTGGCTCACTGAAGGTGGGTGAAGGAGGCACTGAGCTGTAGGGTGTGGAGCCCAGTGAGGCTGTTGAGGGGCCAGATCGCCCCTCAGAGGGTTCCCGCTTTACCTCAAACTTCATCAAGTCAAAGTCATTGACATATTCCATAGCCAGGGGGCTGGGAGGCAGTGCCATCCTGGGGCTGGATTGGGAGGGGTGCACCTGCAAAAACAGAGGAGAGTTGGAGCCTGCCTACCAGCCTCCTTCACTGGAATGTGCTTCTCCCAAGGCCCAAGTGCCCTGGAGAGCCAGAGTTCTGGAAAATCCTGGGTGATGGTGCAACGCTGTTCCTTAAAGAGTCACCTCTGGGGGACGCCTGGGTGGCTCAGTTGGTTAAGCAGCTGCCTTCGGCTCAGGTCATGATCCCAGCGTCCTGGGATCGAGTCCCACATCGGGCTCCTTGCTCGTCAGGGAGCCTGCTTCTCCCTCTGCCTCTGCCTGCCATTCTGTCTGCCTGTGCTCGCTCTCTCTCCCTCTCTCTCTGACAAATAAATAAATAAAATCTTTAAAAAAAAAAAAAAAAAAAAGAGTCACCTCTGGGCTGGAACAACTTTTCAGGTGGCAGGGGGTACTGACTGGGGGCAGGCAGCTTAGAGGCATGACTGAGGAAGAGGACAGACAGCACGGCCCCTCGCCCCACTGGTGCTTCCGCAAGCTATGAAGAACAAGAGGAACATGGCAGTGCTCCCACTCTAGTGCTGGGGCACACTGAGAGGCTCTGTCATTTCAAGAGACATCATTCTATTTCCAAGCAATCAAAAAATTTTGCTTAATTAACTGTGACAGAGTATGTGTCTATTTTTGGACAACGGGAAGGCGCGTATGCTGTGAATTTTAATGTACAGAGATAATGCATTGTTATACCTCTCAAAACACCCTAGGTCGATGCCTTGCACACAGAAGGGCCTCAGTGCACATCTGTTCTATGGGTTAATCAATCAATTAATCCCTTTTATAGGAGCATGAGATGTTCCAAAGAGAAAAGAAAGGTCCTAGAATTGGTTCTAGAAAGATCAGGACTGGGTGGTGACCGTCTTTCCCCAAGCCAATATCTCCAAAGGGAACCAACCAAAATTGGTTTCCTCCTTCTATTCAGAGCCTGCTATGTTGTGCAGACTTGGACAGATCACCTCCCCCATTCTGACCCCCATTTCCTGTTTCGTTCAATAAAGGCAGTTAGACTTTCCCATTTCCCAGAGTGTTCTGGGAAACCCTAAGTCTGAAAAATACCCAAGAAGAAGTTGATGCTCAGATAATTTTGAGAAATGCTGCCTCCCATCCCCATGTTCTGCAGATTCACAAGCATAGCAACATATTAATCTGAGGAATCCTTCAGTAAACCATCTGTTCAACCTCAACCCAGAGTGTCCCAAACTTAAGTCAGCAAGGAGCTCTCTTCCCTGTTATCAACAACAGAGTGTGTACTCACCTGAGGAACATCAGGCTAGGTGACCTCAGAGATCCCTCCCAGCCTGGAATTCCCAAGCTAGAGCCCAGCTCCCAGTTCCAACAGCCCCACTGCCAGCCCCCAAAGGGACAAGGCAGGGAGTGCTAATCCCCGGGGCTTGGTATTTGGCTCCATCTTGACACCCCAAGCCTAGATAGCCCCCTTTTTAATGACAACTCAGACGCTCAGGCTCTGCCCAGAGAGGTGGAAGGAAGGACGAGCGCTTCTCTCTTCCTGTCCCAAGGAATGATGTTTGCCTTCTCTCTCGAGCCCCTCACCCTTGAGAGGACAGGGGCAGTAGAAACAAAGACACAGATTGAAGGAATGATCCCTGGCAGGGAGGAGACGGTGAAACACTGTCCAGAGAAATAATGAATGAAGAGATAAGTGAGGAGGGTTAGTTATCACCCTGCTATGATAGCAGTGAGGGACACGAAGCCAGTCAGGGTGGGAGTGGGGCAGGGGACAGAAGTGTGAGGATTCTTGAAGGTAGACAATAGAGAGCAGACAGCAGGGGACGGAAGAGGAGGTTGTAGGTGAGAGGCCTGGCATGAAGGTAGGCCCTGAATATACTCACTTGGGGGATGGTAGAAATGATGTGAGTGTCAGTGTCAGGCAGGCACAGCTTTCCCAGAGACTGGAGACCCCATTGAGTGGGGTCTGGTGCCCCCGTGCTCAGAACAAGGCGCTGTGGGCACCAAGTCCATGGGGATGCTCTTAAAGGGCCAGCGCTTTGAGGTCATCTGGGGTCCTCAGGCCTCCAGCCAATGAGGTAAGGGGATCATTTGCATATCTCATTGGCCTGGGGTGTTGGGGGGAATGAGAAGAGGGGAGAGGACAAGTAAGCCTGTTCTCAAGGAAGGAAGGGGGCATCTTCCCCAACAAAGCTCTTTCCTGATGACTGGTCTCGCAGACGCTCAGTTCCCCGGTACTGAGAGTGCTTTGGCCTGGCCAGCCACCCCCCTGTGAACACCACTCTCAACCCTCAGCGACTGAGAGCCTGGGACTGGAAAAGAGGCCCAGGGAAGCTCCCGGTGCCCTCACCCTCCAACGCTCTACAGCACCTTGGCAGTGTTTGTGGGAGTCCAGGCAGTCCTGAACGCACTCTCACCTAGCCAGCTGGGTCTATTTCCTGTGTTCAGGAATCCTCACACTTCTGTCCCCTGCCTCACTCCCACTGTGAGGCCCCAAGTCCCTCACAGTTATCATATCGGAAAGACAGGCAACGGTCCTCTCAGTGAACGTCCAGGACTTGGCCACCCAATCCTCAGCCTCTCCCACTCTTGATGACCCAGTCCGGGACAAGCAGCCCAGCTCAGGAGAAGGAGCAGCAGAAGGGAGAGTGGGGATCTCTGTTCCTTCCTTCCGGGCCACCTCGGGACACGGGAATCTAATCACCATCAATCCATCCGAGACACTTCTGCAACTGCCCTCACATGCCCTCTGCTTCCTCTCCCCTTTTCCCTGCGTGTATCTCTGTCCCTGTCTCTTCCTCTCTCACCATCCTGGTTCCCAGATGGCTGGGGGGTGACCTACATTTTCAGCCTAATCCCCTAACACCTCTTAGAGCTCTCATCCCTGAGTAGAAGTTGGAACAGGGATACTAGGAATTAGCTAAGGAGATGTTTAAACCTGTCTGAAGCTGTTTAAAACAAGGTGTGGGCTAGAATAGAACCCTGGAGTTAAGGGCTATTCCCTACCTGCTGAGGATACCCAAATGTTCCCATAGGGTTAACAGGCCCCCTGTCCCAAGTCAGAGAGAGACCTGGGTGTCCATCAGCCCCGAGGATCATCAGTTATAAAAATTAACCTAGTCCCAGCTTGTGGATTCAGATGAGAACAGTAGTTTTTAAAGTGTGGTTCCCCCAACCAGCAGCAGCATCTGGGAACTTGCTAAAAATGCATATTCTCTGAGCTCACCTCAAACCCACTGAATCAGAAACTCTGGACATGGGACCCCCCGAAATCTGTGTTTTAATAAGCCCTTGGGGGACTTTGATGAACAATGAAGTTTGAGAACCACTGGTCTACAGAATACCTACATTTAACGCAGCTTTCCCTGTGTGTGTGTGTGTGTGTGTGTGTGTGTGTGTGTGTGTGTGTGTGTTTGCGTGCACACCTGTGGTCTCTCTTACCATGCTCAGTACACACACAAAAAAAGACCTAGATCAGATGACATCACTCTCTTCCCACATTGGTCCTGCATTTCAAGGAGCAGAGAACCTTAGAGACCATTGTCAGGATTTAAGTAGTAAGGTTTCTCAGTGTAATTGCCTGGATCTACCTCTTTTTGCAGAACCAAGGCCTGGGAACAAGGCCACAGATGGGAATGGGGATCATGGAGACAGGGAATTGAACACACATCCACAGAATGTGGCTATGAGGCACATAGCCAGGAAAAAGAGCCCAGAACTTCCTGAGTTGAAGAAAGAGTAGGAAGTGTTGAATGTAGCCCCTTTCTCCATGCCTGGCCTGGCCAGACACTTGCCCCCGAGCAGCTGTCAGATCTGTGCTGATCTTCTTGTTTACTGGAGGGCTCAAGGTGGGGGAGGGTGGTTACTAAGCTGCTAACGGGCTAAAAGAGTCAGACTAAACAAGCTCAGGCAAACTGAGCGGCTCAGGGCTCAGACCAGGTGCCACTGACTAGGGAAAGGAGTCCATTTGGGCAGTGAGGGCTGGGCCAGAGGAAAGGAGCAAGGGCACAGAGAGGAGAGGCCTTGGTGACCAGTGGGGCCCCAGGAGGTGGTTAATGGGTCCTCTCGGTGGGGGTGTACCCAGAGCCTGGGAGATGCACACTGAGAGTGACTGACTCCAGGACTTCTGGGGACAGGGAAACAGGAGGGAAAACATGATGCCAGGCAGACTGCAGAAATGATGAAACAGAGGAAGGGAGGCAGGAAGGCTTAGCAGAGGGGGCAGTAGGTCTCGACCTGGGATGGAGGACAGAACAAGCTGGGGGTTCTCCAGGGATTTCTATTAGAGGAGTTGGAGGGATGCAGGACCATGGAAGAGGCAGGCAAAGGGCTGTGGCAAACTAAAAGAGAAAGTCTTCTGGAGAGGACCAAAAAGGGAGTAAGGGGTAACAAGAGGGGGTGCTAGGAGCAAGGGACCAGAAAAGCAATGGCAGTAGAAGGAAGGGGCAGAGGAAAGTTAAGACTGGGGACCAAGAGCTAGAAAGAAATAGAGAGGAACAGGCAGATAGGTGGTCAGGCCACAGAGGAGGCACAGCGGCCAAAGGACAAAAAAAGAGAAAGATATAAACAGAGGCATGTTGGACAATTGGGGAAAGAAGGCCAGGCAGGTGAAGGGCTGGAAGAATTGGGGCACAAGATGAAGAGGGAGGAAAGGAGACACAGTCAGTAATCTGGGGTGCCATCACTACCTCCTCAGTCCTGCCCTCCAATTTTTGGAGCCCATTAGACCCTGTAAGCCCTGTAAGTTCTGGCTTTTGGTATCTAGATCTTTAGTAATGGATCCAAATCTTCAAACCTCTTCCAAATCTACCTACTATATTCATTTGACAAGTGTTTATTAAGCACCAGGCACCGTGCTAAGCATTAGGGACACCCCGGTAAATCAGACTAACACCAGCCCTCCCTTCATGGAGCGTACACACTGATGAAATACGGAAACATCAACTTACTGCCCATAGGCCCAGGCAAGAGTGGCCCCTGCCCTGGGCCTGTGCTTTTGGAAGGCTTCATTCTGGCTGTGTCCCACCTCACGGGGTGAAGAATTCAGGCTTCCTCCACCCACACCCAATCCCCTTCTGGACCACACTCCATACCCAGCAATTCCCTGTT